AATTTTTAGTTATCATAATTTTTTAAAAAATGATAATGTTTTGTTTTATTTTTATATTAGTATAACATTATACATAACAAATAGATTTACTCATAATTTACTATAAATACTAAAAATAGAAAATTTTGTATAACTATAATAGAGATAGCAAAAATCTATGATAGAAATAAACTATCCTTAAATAAATTGTATTTAAATATTGAATTTAACTTTAAATAACTAGTGATAATTATTATTACTGTATAATTAGCCAATAATAATAAAATAATAAAAAAATTTCATTTTATTTGCTTTAGAGTTAAGGCAAGACCTGAGATTTTAACAAGATGTTATATATATGCAAATTTTAGTAAAAAGTTTTTTTTGTTAGAATATTGAAAGTAGTTTCATAAATGAATTCTTGAGAAATTAGCATGTTTTTTAAAAAAATAATTTATACATTATATCTGATCTTGCAAATTTATTAGCTAATTACACATTGGTAATGATTACTACTGGTTATAGTTATAAACAGTGTTGTCATGTTTACTATGTCCAAGACTTTTTTAGACCATGTCCAATATCTAAACATCCAAATATCCAAAAATGTTCAAAGCATGTTTAAGCTTTAATAATTAATAAATTTGTCTAAAAAATATATGATTATATATTTTTTTAGGTTCTAAATATTTTTCACTTAGAAAAGTATATATATTATCTTAATAAAATTATAAGTAATTTTAATTTATATTTTTATTCAAAAATATCCAAAAATGTTCAAAATCATATCCAAAGCTGTTCCGTAACAACACTGATTATAAATATTCTTAAATATTTATATTAAATTTCAAAAAAAAAATTTATTACAAGTATATTCGTGTATCTACATTTTTGCATCGAACCATATATATTTTATAGAATAAATGTATATATCACACCATGCTACACACTTATATCTCGCACACCTATAGTAAATCATAATCCACGTGTAATGTAATATTAAAACAAAACGTTTTACTTCGATTTAGTTAGAGTTAGGCAGGTTCGATTTCGAATTAGTGCGGGCATAGTTTATTTCAAAATTTTGCAAGGAATTTTTTTAATTAGAACACGAAAAGCTGTTTCCTAAGTAAAATTTTGAGCTATTGAAGATTTCCTTAAAAAAAGTGGGTTTTCGCTATTTTTTACGTTACACCTGATCTTGAAATTTGATTGGTGGGCGACAAATAAGAGTATCGCATGGTGCAAAATTAGCCAATTAAAATAAAGCGCGATAAATAAGAGAATCGCACCCATGATAGATCTAGATTAATCCTATTTTATAAACTCTTTTTTTTAAATTATTATTATTAATGATAATAAAGAACCATATAAATTTTTTATATAAATCATATTTATGATTAATTGGTTCTTGGGTGCATGTTAGCAAAATCATCATCGGGTAAATCACTATCCGCTATTTTTCGTCGTCTTTCTTCTTTTGCCACCATTCTAGCTTGATGCCGTACAGCTTTAGCCATGCGAAAATTGCGTCGAATCTATAATAATACAAAGCATACTCAGAAATGGTAATAGTAGTAAGAAGAAAATTTTCAAAAAAATGCGTACTTCATTGGGTGAAACAAATTCTGGATTTGCAAATATAGTGGCGCCGCAAAAACTGCCTTCGAATATTTTAATAATATTAAGAACAAATCGAGGACCTATCTCAACAAGAGATAGATCCTTATCACTTGGTTTTTTGTTTTGTTCCATTGGGTCTTTTTCGATTATCTATTTTGAATAAATGCATTATCACATAGTTAATTCAATATAAATAATTTTCGGATCAGTAACATGTAATAATTTAATAATACCTGAAAATTACGAAACCATATGCGATTATCGGCAATTGTGAAGGAAACGACATGATCAACAAAGGGTTTTATTCGACGAGCGCTCCTTGGAATACCAAAAATCTAAAAAACAGTTCTTTATAAAAATATAATTCTACCAAGGTAATTGATGGTGAATTAGTATAATAAAAATTTATACGTGAACAAAAACTTCTTTAATTAATATCCAATGCGGTTCTGAATCAAAGGTCTTATCAAAAGAGAGAATCGGACGAGATCCCTTGAGACAATTGCCTGTCATCTTGAGTTCATCCATTGTGTGAACTATACAAGATAATGCAATTTTTGTTTAGTTACAGAAAATAAAATGTAAGGCTATGAAGAGTCTCAACTTACTGTTTTGAACATGAAATTTAATGCTTGGACCATTAGGCGTCTTACTTGTCCACATATAGAGATCTTGACCCTTTCGTACTTCAAAGAAGACGCAATTATTGCAATTATTAAGATCTGCTAGTTCATTAATGATTCCAAGCTTGGACTTTTGATCGAGCTTAGAGTCTAGTAAACTATCCTATCAGTAAATTATATTGATTTAAGTATTAATGATAAAAAAAAATTCTATACCTTTCTTGAAATGAGGCAGGAGAGCATCAAGATCGTTTAATAGGTGTCTCTGTCTAAAAGCCAGAATAAGTTTAACGTTTTTAATTTAAATGAAACGTCGCAAAAATTTGACGCGTACCTAAAATTTACTCCTCGAGAAGACAAGGCAAGAACTCTCTGTTTATTCTTGGGAGATTCTTTTTCTTTGAGATCGTCAGCGTCTTCATCCTTTTGGGTTTTAACCAATTTATATATTGTAGCCATTGATTAGGTATACGAATTCTCTAATAGACTTCGTCGATTATCAAAATCTTCCCGAAAATCTCCTTGAAGAATGCCAATTTTTTTCTCACAACTTATCTGCTATTGGTCAATTTATAAATCATGTGATACCTTATTCGGCAATTTTTGCCACATGCGAACGATAGTCAGATGCTTTATTTGGCTGGCATACTCAAATAATACATCTAAATTTCTCAACCAGCTGAATGGTATATTACTTTTTTTACTCTTTCTCTTATAATTTCTTTTTGCGAAATTGCTGCGATATACTTTTCTCTTGAATAGCTTTTGAATTACGTGACTAAGGACAACATGACGTCTAAGGAACAAGATTTTGACAGAAAGTTGTATGAATTGCTTGAAAGAAAACCACCTGGGATAAGTGCCTCCAAAATAAAAGACTTGACGAGAATAGCAATGACTAGTCCAAAGGTGAGATGAGCAAAGTTAAGCGAGAGATTAGTTTTCTAGAAAGCTCACTCCATCTGTGGGTTCAAGAGATACAAGTTTATAGATACCTTTTAAAGAAAAAAAAATTAGCGAGGGGTTGAACTTGTTCTTTATTGGTTGGGTTAAAGGAAAATCCGCAGTTAACATCTTATATGGTGGCTAACGTAAAACAAACGTAGCGCTATTATCTTTTGGCTGGATCGATGATATTTTCAAAAATAAAATCCTTTTTTTTTTTTTTTTTACTGAATATAAAATCGACCATTTCATACATTTGATTTCTTAAAGCTAAATTATTTCTATTTATGTCTAAAATGGGCCAGTTAATACATCGGTTGTGTGTAAAAAAATAATAATATAAATTTTGCAAATCACTAAATGTCTTTTCTGCTCCTGATATTTTAATTATCGCTGAAAATTCAGCAATATAAAAACATAGTATACAGCGTACAGAAATTCATTCAAAGATGTTCGGCCGATTACAAATTAGGAGCATTATATGTATTGGATTCAATATCACAAGCGGCACAGAGACAAAAGACATTGATTGCAGAAAAAGATAACGATGGTTCTGCTTGGTCAGGAGCTGAATATCTTGAAAGGTTTGAAAAAATATTGGAAGAGATGTTTTTACACATCATGCAATGCCCAGAACATGATAAGGTAAGAATCACGTGATAAACATTTTCTTTCTCGTAACGACCAAGGGATAAGTTTGATTGTTGTTTTAGCGCAACGTCTTAATGTTATAGGTTCAACAGCAGTTTTAATTTGCACGATACATTATGTCGATTCCATGTATTTTTAAATCAGTTTCCTATTAGAACTAAAAAAAAATTACAAGATTACGTAACAGCGATCGATGCTAGTGCTGTACATAGATTTTATAATCACTCACTTTATGTTTTACATAGTAATAATGCACGATCGTATAACTTCTCTTGGTTTACGCTATGGGGCGTTTGATTGTGTTATCATTTCATGTATTAATTAAAACTCATATAAAATACAGGACAAAGTGAAACGTGTTCTTGACATATGGCTTACCAAAGATGTCATATATGACAAGGAATTAATTCGAAAAATAAAAGATACCTATTTTTCTCAAAGAACTATGACAAATCCTTTAGAAAACAATGTACATGAGTCTCAGTCGATAACGACATCATTATCACATGGAGGTGATCCACGAATGGTTTCTGTGCCAAGTAATGTCTTGTTCATATAAATTGCAAACTATCGTAGACAAGACGAATCAATTGTACGATCCAGTTTGGTCTTAATAGAGTCTTTTTTTATTTTTTTTATTTATTATAGATCAGTCAAGCATGTCGATGTCGACAACTCTAGATTCATCAGCTTTGTTAGCTACACTGAACAATTTAACACAAGGAACTTTGAATATACCTTCATTTTTGTCATCAAATCCAATAACTGCTGCTACAACGCAATCCATTAACGCACCCGTTGCTTTTAATAATGCTTCTACTAACCCGCACGCAGTTACTTCACAGTTCTCTAATATGTCACAGCCTTCTGTGTCTGCGAACAATGGCTTTTTACAACCTCCAGTGACTTCTTCAAATTATTCGGCAACTACAGTCACTGAAACAAAACCAAAAGAACCTTTAAATGATCCTCTTGATTTTGATTACGGAGACATGGATGAAGATGAGGACGTAGGCATAACGCAATCGGTTGCAAATGGTGAGATAAATAGTACTACTAAAGAGGCAATTCTGACGAGTGCTATAAACGTGAAACCTATAAATGTGTAAGTAAATCGACTGATTTTTTGAACATTGGGAAAATGAGCGCTTTAACCAGGTTCCGACAATTTCTTAAACTTTTACGATTTAATCATTTCTTGAGACTCCTTTTCGATTGTAGTTTTTTACTTTTCAATTGCAATTAAGAAAAATAATCAAAAAAAAATAATTAATATTACAAAACAATATTTGTATCGGAAGTATACACAACTGCTAGTTTTGTAACTAGTTAATGTGAGAGAAACCGAAAACAATAAAAAAAAATTGTCGGACATTTATTCCTCTTAGTTCAGTGATAAGTTTTTTCGAATTTCACGTGATAATTTATTAGGTTTCCATTTGGTGGTAGTTTCTTGACAAATAAAATATATAATGTTCCTAAAGACGGGTGATGGACCTTATTGTTAAATTCCTACATTATTTGTTTTTATATTCATGCTTAATAATCTTTATAGAAATCAATCGGCAACACCCGCAGCACCGTCAATGCCTCAACAATTCAATCAGGAAAATATGACAAATCAATATTTTCAACCATCTCAAGGAAACCCGACTAATTCCTCACAGTCGGTATCACAATCACAACCACCGCCACCAACATCGGCTGCACCATCACTACTACTTCCTGGTCAGCAACAAATTCCTAATAATAATATGGCACCATTTCCGTTCCCACAGCAACCTTGGACAGGACCTACGCAGCAGCAACCACCACCGCCAACACCACCCGGAAGTATACCACCCCCTCAAAATCAGTACCAACCACCACCACCGTTTCCTACTCAACCATGGAATGGCCAACAAGGGCTTCTTCCTCCTCCTCCATGGAATTCAATTCCGCCGCAACAGCACGCACCGCCAGAACATTTTCCGAACAACCCGGCACCTCAGGGTTACCCAATACCTCCTCCAGGCCACCCGTTACCTCCTCCGGGTCATCCGTTACTACCTCCGGGTCACCCTATGCCTCCAGGTCCACCGCCTCCAGGACATCTTCTGCATCAGGGTCCTCCGGGTCCACCAATAGGTCTTCCTGTTCAACATCAAGGTCCTCCACCTGGACATTTGATGCAACATCAAGGTCCTCCAGGGTCACAGCCTCAAGGACCACCCGGTCCAAATCCTCAAGGACCACCCATTATAACAACACCACAAGATGATTGTATGGCATATGCTGATCCAAATGTTGGAAGGGATTTTATTAAAGGTATGTCGTATTTATATTGTTGGTATACGAATTTAATAAGTTATATAAAAGATTAATTTTTCTTTAAAAAATATATATAGTTCTAAGTCGAACACTTTACGTTGGTAGTGTAACAGAGGATTTGACCAAAAGTATTATGGAAAAAATATTTCTTAGTTACGGCAGAGTATCTACTATTACGGTAAATTAAAATGTTGAATTATAATTAAGTCTAGTCGGATTAAAAAAATTTTTTTTGATGTTTAACAAATATTAATACTAATTTAAATCAGATTAACTATGATAAAAATCATGCTTTCATTAAAATGGAAACACGAGCAGGTGCTGCTAGAGCTCTAAATGGCCTTAAAATGCAAGTAAACCAGAAGGGTAAACAAAATTGTAAGATTACAGTGGTAAGTTTCAAAAATAACTATCGCGTTATTAAATCGAACTTCTGAACTAAAAATAAAGACAGGCAAATAATAAGAAAACTATTATTTAGCCGTTATTTATTCTTGACACGTGATCATGGCTTGTTTTTATTGAACGAGCTCCATGTGGTAATTATACAAATTGTAATACATATTAATATTCTAATTTTATTTATAATTTAAAGGTACGTTGGGGTGTAGGTTTCGGGCCTAAAAATTGCTTTGACTTCGAATCTGGTGAATCTTTAATTCCTCTTAACAGACTTACGGAAACAGATCGTAAATGGTTGTTTACTAGTGAGAAAGGTGGTACTGGTGGAAGGGATATAGTTGGCGGAATAGTAGTTGAAGAACCGGACATTGTAATTGGCGAAGGATTTTCTAGTGGTTCAGGGAATAAAAAATTAGGACCTCAACATGAAAGTTCGCGTAAAGAAAGGCCTAGAGGAGGTGATCGATCGTCTAATTCATCGGATTCTAGAAAGTATTCAGATGCATCCTGGGAAGGCTCATCATCTCCCAGACGTCATACAAGTAAATGGGATGATGAATTAAATGATTCTCCTTTTCAAGGAACGGCATCTCCTCCTTCACAAGAGCATTTATCATCGCAACAACGCTCACATTCGTTTTCTCCAGGTTTATCACCGCCCTCAGGAACTCCTGATAATCTACCACAATCAGAATTCGGAAGTTCAACACTACCAACACAAGAACAACTTTTCCAGCAAAGACTAGAACACACTCCACAATCTATTCACAAAAGAGAGTATTTTAGTTCTCACGGAGATGCACCAGTTCGTGAAAATAAAAAAAGTCGATGGGATAAATGAAAATGAATATCTAATTTGTGATGGTTTTTTTTATTAGCGGTAGTACTGATAAATATTTCAAATTTCTTTAAAAGAACTTTTTAATTTGTTTAGTGGAATCCAATTATGAAATCTTTTTATATAGTTCACTTTTTCACTTACTTTTTTTCTATTTTTTTTTTTTTTTTTTTTTTTATGAAGAAAAAAAGAAAAATTTTGTATATACAGTATTAAAAAAAAAAAAAAAAGATAACTGACTGATAAAATTTTAAATAGAAGTTCAGAAAAAAAATTTCTTTAGTAAAAATCAGGCTTTATTTGAAAAACAAAAAAAAATACGACAGAAATTTACGGTTTATCGATTCCTAATTTTTATGAAGAATATTATTAATCAGGTCATAATTTCTCGCTTTCGTAATTTAGAAGTTCGTTGGTCATATTAAAAACTATATATTTTTCTCGATTATTAAATGGGGACCAATCGAGTTTCTAATTATAAATTCTGTATATGAAAAAAAAAAAAAATAATAATAATAAATGTTTTTTGTTTCAAATATATTAGACATTAGCAAATAAAAGCATATAAATTTTTTTTACGAAATAAAATAAAATATCATAATGCATGTACGTATGATGTTTTGTAAATCTATATACAAAAAAAAATATATTCAAAAATTCTCCACCAGTTTCATGATAAGTCATTCATTCACTCCAATCATTCTATGTCTTCTCAATATATCTACAAAAGGAATTATGATTCGATGAAAAAAAATTAAACTAAAAAATAAAAATCTTTCTTTTTTCATAATAAGATCGTTAAATAGATTACTAGCATATCTATTCTAAATATTCTAATGATTCATGTTGACCTTCAAATTAATGAAAGTGTGCAATCTTAGGTCTAATTGTCTAAGTATGAAGGGGTATTTAAGGAGTAATACCTTATGTCATTCCAAAGTTTTATTAGGTAAAAAAGTCATCACGTCAGAGATGTCAACAGGTAAGAATCTTTTAGTAGATGTAAAGATTTGCAATAAATTGCGGCCAAAATATGCTTCAGAAACTCCTAATTATTATTTTGAATGACAAGATAATGAATGCATGGATTTATATCCATAAAAACGGTCTTATACTTGAATGTTCAGAAAAGACTTCGTGAATGGACATAATGTGAGAATAAATATAAAATTCTGATCGACCATATTACACGAAGAGAAATACCGAAATTGTGATTTTTATTCGGTATCACATATTTGAAACTCAAATTGTTTATAAACATATTAATGTACATAATAATAGAATGTAAATAAAAACGTAATTATATTTTTTAATAATCCTGAGAATGTGATCTTAGGACTGATTTTGGACCGGTCTTGAGAACATAGTCTTAGTACCGTTCTGAGACCACTGTCTGGATCGTGGTCTTGTAGCCAGTGTTGGAAATCTGGGACTGAACTACTGTTCTCACCTTCTATTTAATATTTTTAGAGTTAATTTTTAGGTGTTCTCTAATATAAAAAATTTTAAATTTTCTGTTCTCACTCACAAACTTGTGTTCTCATGAGAACTCTGAGAACACTAATTTCCAACACTGCTTGTAGCTGGCCTTAAACCGGTTTTGAGAGCACTGTCAGAATTAGGGATCCAAACTATAACCCGGGTAACCGTGTACCCGATGTTCCGAACCGTAAAATTTGCCAACCGGATTATTTTTTTGACAAACCGGGTGACCCGTTTTACAACGGGTAACACGATAATAAGCGGGTGATCTGTTTTGCAAAGGTTGGTAAATTCAATAGGTATCGATTAAGAATAATCACGATTAATCGTATAAATTCTCCAATCCCTACCTTAATTCTCTATTTTAATAGTCGTTTATCGTTCCAATTCTGGACCTACAAAAGAAAGAAATAAGGTGAGTTTTCACTTTATTTATTTATTTATTTGTTTATTCGTAATTAACCTACCTATTCTTGCCATTACCATTCGTCGTTCCAGACTTACGAAAAGAAGAATTTGAGATGTGAGTCTCCGGTTATTTCGATTCTGACCTACAAAAGAAAGAAATAAGGTTAGTCTTCATTTATTTTTTATTTTTATAATTTACTTACCTCTTCTTGCGAACATCATTCGTCATTCTGATTCCGGACCTATAAAAGAAGAATTTGAAAGTGAGTTCTTATTTTTTTTCTAAATTGTTTATTCATTTATCTATTTTATAATTTATTTACCTTGCTTTTAATTCTGGTGGTTGTTTACTGCTCCAATCCCGAATCTACAAAAAAAAAAAAAAGAAATGAGATGAGTCTTGATTTTATTTATTTGTTTATCATTTTTTTTTTTCATAATTTACTTACTTTTTCTTGTCATCGTCTTTTATCGTTCTAATTCCAGATACTTTTAGACCTTTATATGGGTTAAACGATTATGGGTGTTTTCAAGCATCAACTTAGGCATGATTAGCTAGTGATCGTAATAGTGCACAACAAAATTTGAATAAGCAAATAATGACATAATTGAAGTTTGCTCAAGATGCTATTTTTTAGTGATCGTAATAGTGCTCATTTACTACAATCAATTAAAATAGAAATTGTAATCAAATGCTTAAGCAGTTCTTTAATGATCTCCATATTATTTATCAAATATCACCGTCAAAAAATAAAAAAGCGGAAAATAAAAAGCAGTCCAACACGAAAGAACAAATGCTACTATTCTTTGAACACAACCTAGTGAGGTATCAACTTCAGCTGCTCCAATTATCCTCGTTATAAATTAAATATAGAAAAACGTCAACCGGGTTTAGATCCTCGTTTATGTTGGCTTTTGAATCTAATGAAGTATTATTGACGGAATAGTTGAATTTGTAACATGATTAAAAGCTGAGATGGTATCTGCAGTTATTTTTTGAATTTACCGATATTTTTTATTTTTCATTGAATCTTTTAATAAAGATAATAAAATAACAATTCGTTATGCCAAGAACAAAGATCCATGGCAAAGTTACTTGAGCGATCTCTATGAATACTCAATTGATGGTAAAAATTTCAAAGTCAGGTATAAAAAAAAAGATGCTTTTTTGTAAAAAGTTGGCAAATTAAAATGATTATCTTAATATTTTTTACTAATAAAAATATTTCAATTACGTAATAAACTTTAATAAACTATACTATTTAAGTATTTATTATAATGATAAATGCAATTGACCTGCTGAAAAGATTTTCTGCTAAGTAAAATTTATATCCCGACGCTTTTTGATACATTGATTAAGGCATTTGAGAACGCCCTATATCCTCAAGTAATTAGTTATTTATACGGGTCATCCGAATTCAGGTACCCGGATTACTCGATTATATTCAGGTAACCTGTTTTAGTTTTGGGTACCCAGTTGGTAAAGACAGTTGACCCGACGGGTCACGGGTAGAGATTTTCCAACCAGTTTGGAACCCTAATTCTAAGTATAGATATTGCTTTAAGTAAAGAGTTATTGTTTAAAGTACGATCTATATTTGATATACAGACTTTTTGAATTATATTTGTAAGTATAGAGAGATTAAAGGATAAGAGATTTGTTAGAATTATATAGTTTGTATTTTTTGCAAGTAATAATAATTTTTTTGCATATATTGTGAATAAGCAAAAGAGTTTGGTTTGTTGTAATAGAAAAAGAGTAACTATTTGTAGAAGATATTCTAGAGATAGTTGTAAAATTAAATTAAATAATTTAAAAATTTGAATAGGTGTGAGTTTTTTATATTGTATAAGTGTGAGAAAATTTTCTATTTTATTAAAGATAGCTTCATATGTAGGTTGAGATGAGCTATAACTATCAAGGAAGATACCAAGATATCTTATAGTTTCTGTTTGTTTTTGAGGAGTAATTATTTGGTTATTATATTGTAGTTAGTAGTTTGGTTGTTTCTTTTTTGATTTTGGATAGATGTATAAAAGGTCTTATTTAGTAGGATTGATTTTTATATTGTTTAGTTTATATAAGTTATTTGTGTTATTAAGAATATCTTGTATAGTTTGTAAACTTTTAGTATGCTAAGTAGTATCATCTATATAAGCTAGTAGTGATATAGTTATTAGTGTAGCTTGACAGTTAGAAATTAATTCAAGTGGAGAAGAAGTTTGAATTTTTAGAAAAGAGTTTTGATATTTGTTATGTATAAAGGAAAGTATAGGATAATAATATATTTTCTATAGTAGAGGAAAATAAGTTTCTTCTTGCTCAATATCAGATTTGATATTCACAGAAGAAGTAAGACTAAAGGCAGTAATAATTTGAGCTTGTCTTTGTAAGTATAACTCTGTGATAAAGTTTATACTTTGTGTTGGGATTCTAATCCTTTTACAAGTATCTTGTAGATATAAGATATTGATTTTATCAAATACTTTAGACATGTCTTGAAAAAGAATCTAGGCTTCTTTTTTGTGAAGTTTGTAGTGCTTAATGATATTGTAAAGAATTTGAATAGAGATATTTATTGATGAGTTTTTGGTAGTAGCGAAGTTGAAATTTGAGAGTAGTTTGTTTTGAGTAATAATATTATCAAGTCATTGAGTAAATATTTTTGTAAAATATTTTTTAAGAGGCTCAATAATTGAGATAGGTCAGACTTGATTTAGAATATAGTCCTATATAGATTTTTTAGATATTAAGAAAATATTAGAAATTTTCTAAGTGATTAGGACTTTTTGAAGTTGGAGGCAACAACTAATAAAAGATCTTAAGATATACTGAGCCTTGGAACCAGCATATTTAATATGTTTATAGCTAGTTTCTAATAGTCTAGTTGCTTTTTGAAAAAGAAGATTTTTAATAACTAAGATCTATTCCTCTTCAGAAATCTCAGAGAGGAGATTTTGAAAGTATTTTTCATTTTCAAGATATGGTTTGTAATAGTTGTAATAGTCTGATGCTAGAGAAATTTAAAAGAGTAGTTTTTTATTAAAATATTTTGTGAAATGAGAATGAATTGCTTGTTAAACTTGTTGTCATTCTATAAGCAAATATTGTT